TAAAAAAAAAAAAAAAAAAAACCAAAAAAAAAAAAAACTCATTGTCTGAAAGAAGGGGCTTCCCAAGTCCTTCCTGGTAAGCCATGAGATTCTGACATTGAAAGAGTGCCTGCAGAATCTTATCGGGTTGATGCCTAACCCTCCCAGCTGATGACCCGTAGTGGTGGCCTTCTAATATTTGACCTTGATAGTTAACATTTTTGTACAGGAGCTTAAACCACACCCATAGCAGCTCACATTCCCCATAGCAAAGTAGAGGGGATCCAGAATCAGGTTTGTTGGTGTCTCCGATCCTCCCCATCTGTCACAGGAAGGGATGTGGCCAGTTGTATGTCCCAGTGTTTCTGTGTGGCTCCCCTCAGAGTGTCTGCAGGAGACTGTGGCTTCTAGCTTCCTGCGACGTGACTGGAGTTGGTGCCTGATAGCTACAAACTCCAAGTGGCGTGATTCCACATCTGACCTGGGATTGTGCAATTCTTCAGGCTGGAGCTAGAATTGTCCAAATGGGGCCTAGAATCCTAGTCTTCATGGACTCTGCATCTTATCTCAGATCCATCAGACTCTGGGGTGTTTCCGTGTGCCCTACCTGCTTTTATTTCCCATTAGCTTAAGTCTAAACCTCTTGTGCAAGCTGAATAATGTAGTGGCCGAGTCCCATGCCCTGGGATTAGAGGCAGGATTTGAAACCCACCTCCTGCACTTCCTAATTCTGTAATCTTGGAAATTTATTTCATACCTTGAAAGCTGTTTCCTCTTCTGTAAAGTGAGCCCTCTAATTAGGAATGGTCTTAGCACCAACCCACTCTGCAGGTCAGAAGGTATCCAAGGTACAGGAAGTATCTCAGGGGGAGTTGGAGTAGACACACCTGCAGTGAGGGCTGGGTTTTTATCCTATGATCCCTGCTGCTGCAAGCTGGGTTCACCTGCAAGCCCAGGGAGGCTTGCCTTACATTCCCTCCAGGGACAGGGCACCAGGATCAATTGTTCCTTCTCCTGGATCAACTTTTAAAGCTCTGCCCCATTTCAGGGCCTCCTTGAGCCTTTGCTGGCGGGGCTTTGCTCCTGCATTTGCTGGGCTGCTTCGCAGGCTCTGTGATCAAAACTGAGTTGCCAGTGTCTCTTCCCCATTTTGCAGAAGTAAAGTTCTTGAATAGTTCAAAAGTTTTCTCTTTAGGAAGGCTCTCAAAAGCTTGGACAACCAGCCCCCACTTGTTTAATTTTTGAAGCTAGTAAAAGGCATTTGCTGATTTCAGACAAAATCATGCATTTCACATTTCACAATGTAAATGAACTGAGGATTCATGCATTCCTCAAAGAGCACATGCCTCTGGTTACCCTGATGGCGCAGGGTTGCTGACCTGCTTCTTAGAAGGAGGTGTGCTGGGGCCTGTCTCCCTCCCCAAGGCTCTCTGCCCACAGCTTGCCAGACAGAAGAGCAGATTTGCAAAGAGGACTGGAGTCCAGGCTGCCGTCTCTGTTCACCCTAAAGGACGGTCTCACCTCCTGGGGGAGGAGGTGTTTTCTCTACTCCTCCCACCCTACCCAGCCTCATTATAAGTGGTAAACTGAGGCAGTGAATGAAGGTCATAGTCTATAATCCCTGGGAAGCAGACACTCTGGAGTGGTGAGTAGCAAGGAGGATGTTGTCTATGGAGTGCCCTTGGGGTCAATCCCTGTAGAAGGGAAGGCAAGGGGAGGAAGTAGGACTGGACAGGGACAGATTAAGCTACAGTACAGTCTTGGTGCAGAGCTCTGGCCCCATAGGGAGATCCAAAGTTAGAGTCACTATTTAGAGTTGTCTTAAGATAAAGTAAAAGAGCAGGACTT